GTATGTGTCCCTACCCTCAGATGAATTTCGTTCACAGGTAGACGTGAGTATATGTAACTATCTTCACGAAAATGGACTGCTCCCCCAGAAGGAGGTATTTCACAAAGAGAAGAAAGCTGTTCATAGTATGAGCTTATCTGAACTATACTGCGTACTATTAGTTTCGGTTCCTGTCATGAAAGTGCATATGGCACAAAACGATGATAATTCAATTTTGATTGACGCTGTACAGCTGCTCACGAAGCTGCAAACTTTGGTCGCTCTGACGTACTGGTGGCCCAAAAAGGAGTTGGATGGGCATGATGCAGAGGAATTGGTGCAAAGGAACGAAGAGGAGTACTTCTCCAATCTCAAGTCCATGTCCAAGGGCTATGTGCAAGTTGTTCACGAGATGTGCGGCAACCACAACAGGCTAAGGAAATACTTGGACAAACCGAACCTCCACAGACTTATCGAGCTCTACGAGCACACCATTCCAAGTTTCGGACATGCGAGGGAGTTCATGGAACTTGTGTTTGAAGCCGCGCACCAGCCTCTGAAGCGATGCATGACACAGAGCAACAACAAAAATCCCCATATTTCGCCAGTGGAGCATTGTGTCGTAAACGATTGGCAAGGCCGACTAAATGCACTGTACAACGACATAAATGACTCGAACGAATCTACTAGATCTGAGGCTAAGAGAGGAATTCGTCGTCTTCTATTGGGCGAGGGCGCCGATCGGTTGGACAATGAAAGGGATAAAGAGTTCATCGATGAGACGGATGCTATGTTACTAAAGCTGTTCCGGCCCGCATTGGAAAGACAAATGCGCAGAGATGTTAGAATTGCAAACTTCGGTGGTGTGAGAAAATCTGTATGGAAAGGAAGAGGCGTAATTAATCTCCAAGGACTGATAGAACTGCATCAAGTGGACAATGGGACAATTAAAAATGTCTTACAACATGCAACGCGCTGGGTGAATGCCTTCTATCCACAAATGTCGCAGGAAAAACAGCCAGCACAGATGGGACTTTACAAAGGCGCAAAACGGGTAAGACTGACAAAATCTGGACGTGAGATAGGAAAACCGTACAGACACGACTGCATTAAGGGAACCAATGTCGTACAAGTTTATATGGACTATCGTTCAAAGTCAAACAAAATGGTAAGTAGCAGCCTGTGCCCTGATTCGAAACCCAATTTCTTCATAATCATTGCAGTGCTCCAACGGGGAAGTGGCCAGCCATGGGCTGTATGAATGAGATGCTATTGTACACGGGATACTATTCAGATACACAGGATGTTGGATGTTGATTCATTCCAGCTATTGATGCTGTCACCAGATGTACGAAGGGTTGCGGTATACCACGTTTGTCAGGAGAGAGTAGGACCGTCTACCAAATGTGAGATCAATTTGGACAAGAGAGTCGTCAGGCATTCCATTTCAGTGCTGGATGGTGCACGGATGTATATACAGCGGAGAGTCAATGGCTACCCTCCTCGCATGGCTTGATTGGGTAAAGGAGTGTGTACAAACCATCCCCTAATGTCCATTTCGAGGACAGAGGGATGGACGAATAATTCAGAGTTTGATGATACCGGTATATCTACCTTGTGAATTCTAGACGGGAGAGGATACTCCGTACCGTACGTAAGTAGAGTGACAGAAGGTAAGTGATGAAAACATGTAGCTGTAGTTCCGTAGATGCGATGTAGGCACTGATTGTACGCTGGCATTGGCAGTGATAAAAATCAGTTTGATGACGAGCAACATAAACTATGCTACGATTCAAAACAGGTAATGCTGAGCGATGAAAAAGACGCACTATGAAAGCAGCAGAAGTGATGCTGTGACATGATAAACTCTTTCAATCCGGCACTTACGAAAGCAGGGAGACTTGTAAAGAAAACACTGCTCTGCAGCAAAACGTACATAAAGCAACACCTAGACAGCCAATCTGAGTGTATCAAGAATTGTAACGGAATGGCGTGTTCATACCAACGTCGGCTTAAATTTAATTTTTTGACGTAAAACGAAATTTGAAGCGTTCCGCCACAGAAAGTTTTTTTAAAAAAAGTAATGTGAGTACAGTATCTATCCAACAAATTGTGATTTAGTTCTAATGGTTGACTTGGAAAAGGGCTTTGCAGTGGGTGTAGCTAGATGCGTGGGGTGGGCACCGGAGTCTAATATAAAGTTTTTGTTACCGTCTTTGGGGTCCTGTTGCTCAGCGATGACATCTTCCAAAAATTGGAGGCGTTCTGTGAGGTCGTTGATGGTGTCGTCTGATTGTTCGTTTGTGTCTACTGCTGTGGCTTGGTTCGCTCGCGCGGCTGGTAGTCGGCGGGCTGTTCTACTCGCGTAGCAGTTAGTTGAGCTGTGTGTTACATTGCCATGGTAATGGAACCATGGGCCTGTGTGGCCTGTTGGTTTTTCGTAGTGTCGCGGTTTGCTAACCGTTTTGTTTGGGGTATGTTGTCTACGTCTGGTGGCAGTTTTGCCCTTTGTGTTGGTTTGCTGATATGCCTGTTGGTTCTGTGCTGCAGGTGTGTTGCTTTGGATGAGCTGCACTTGGTGTATGTGGTTGGTAAGCTCACGTATGGTGGTTGGTGGATTACATGCGAGCATCATGGCGAGTGCATTCATCTCGGGGTGATGCGCGAGGCCTTGTACCATGTATCTCACGGTGGTGCGTTCAGCTTCGCTGTTGGGGTACCCAGATACTTGCATCCTGTACCTGAGATCACGATGCTTCTTCACGTATTCGTTGAAGTTTTGATCGGTTGAGAACGTGAGTGTGCGTGCTTCCGCGTCTAGTAGCTCATGGTTTTCCAGGGAGCAGGTGTCTACGGCTTGTTTCACAGTTGCACAGATCGCATGTGGCTCGTAGCGGAGGATGTGCGGTGGTAGGAGTTGTACCACCTCCGTGCTCAAACTCTGCATGATGGCATTCTTGAGAAGATTGGCTTTTTTCTGTCGTTCGGCTTGTTGAGCTGGGTCGGTGAGTGGTGTAGTCGTTGCGCGGAGGGCGGATTGTGCGTTGATCGTTTGCGCGTGTACGTCAAGCGCATTGTACCAGTAAGTAAAATTTGTGAGGGTTAGTTGGGGCAGGTGGCCATGTGTGGTGGCTCTGTCGCTCATTTTTGTGTGTTGTTTGACAAGTCGGGGGCGATCGCTGGTGTTGTTAGTGTGATCGTGCAGTGCGGCTTGTCTTCTTGCGCGTGTGGCGCGTCTGTTAACGTCTTCCTTGGTTGTTGTTTGTTGGGAGTTGACGGATCGTGTTCAGCGGTTGCGTATGGCCCATAACCTGTGGTTCCAGGAACACCGATACCCCCGATCCCGAGAGGGCTGGGGGGACGGCGGTGACTTTATTGTCAAAGTGAGTGGTGTGCCTTACTGGCTGTGCCTTATCGTGGGGGCACTACTGACTTGGCTCTGGATGGAACCACAAGTACTGAACCATGCCGGATGATACACGTGTGAGCGTATGATAACCTGTGCCAGAGGGTGAGCCATAGCACTATATAGAGGGAGGCACTACTAAAGTAGGCACTATTGAGCGGCCCCCCCTGTATGTAGAAACAAAGATGCTTCTATGATGACGTGGTTGTTCTCAAAAGACTTGCACAATATTTTAATTAACGTGCAATGAATAGTGTATGGTGAGAAGAATGGATTTTAAGGTGCAAGTCGATTTATGATGTTTGTGGTAGAGTTTGTAGGAGGGTATTTGGGAAAGGCAGGAGGGTTTATGCAATAGGAGGGGGAGGTAGGAGGCACACGTCCGCAATGTAGACGAGTGCCTCCTGCTCCAGGCGCCGACTCTGCATGTGTCCTTCATTGCTCGACCGTCCCTCTGTTAGGGAATCTTGGCGACCTACGTATGCCGTCCCTGCCGAGTGGAAAGCACTGCATGTGCTGAGACAGTCGCGCTTCACTTTGCATGTAAGTAGGCTTTCTGTCTTGTTCATCCAAGCTCATGTTGTGAAACAATGTATGATATGGAGGGCCTCCATATCATACATTGTTTCACAACAAAATCCAGCAATTATAGAAATGGATGCGCCTCCATTGGGGGGCATCCATTTCTCTAATTGCTGGATGCGTCAGAACTTGTCTTTCTTTATGATACTGTAAGGGTTAAGTACTATATAAGTAGGGCTCGCGCTGCGGACTGTAGGTTCGTACCGGGCCAGAGGTTTGTGTCAAAACGCAGAGCCTGCCTGCGAAAACTGTCCGACTGCACGGACTTCGCACGGGCTCGGTCGGTCGGTCGTAGACCTGTCCATTGACACTTTAATAAAATCTCTTTTTCTAATTCTTTAAAGGAATTCCTAACGAAATCCCACACATGTGAGCTTGACCGGTCTGTGACCGGTCTGTGAACAGACCGGTCCACGCCGCGACGGTGTCCAGCGAAGTCCAGCTGCCCACTCGGCACATGACTGGACTTGGGGGAAACTTCAGGCCGGACACGTGCCCTCCGCGAAGGTACTGCACTCGTACCGTCCTGCGGCTTTTTTGCAGTAAAGTTTACTGTAATGCCGATGGACAAGCCCCTGCAGTACTGTACAGCACTGGGTGCATCCAGGAAATATCATACGCCTCTCCGGAGTCCCTTCCAGCTCTCGTTGCCGGCGTAGAAGTCTTGTTTGTGCCTCGCGAGAGCAGCCTTACTAAACTCGCGATGTGCCAACACCGCAGCAACAATCCGTACAGCTGCCCTCTCCTTTGACGAATGTAAGAAATCACTCCAAATTTCACTGTCAAGCGGGCACTTGCCCTAAAAAAGCTGTAGCTCACTGAATGTACTGCATTTATTCGAACGCCAAGGGTGGAAGCATCTCCTTCCCGCCCCCTTTGCGAGAAGACCAAGAACGAAGAACAACGACGACCAACGACTGACAACGACAAGAGAAAAAAAGATTCCGAGAGAGTGAGATAGAGAGAAGAGCAAGCGCCGCTTTGCATCCGCCGCCTATTCAAATTCGAACAGCACCCCCCAATCCCAAACACCATGGCTGATCCGTACAGTATCTTGGGCCTCACCGGCCCGGCTGAGCAAGTCGTCCGCCTCATCGCAAGTCTCATCGAACGACACGGAGCCTACAAGGAAAACAAATCGCTCTCTACCGAAATGCTCACCACGTATACCACCTTGCAGGCAGACATCACGGAGTTGAAAAACATGCCGATCCATGGAACGTCGTCGCAGCACACGGGCTTGCTCCAACGTGAAATCGAGGGCCTCTCAAGCTTCATATTGAAGTCCCTCGAAGAACTGCAGAAAGAGTTGGACAACCCAAAAGCGAAACTCGCTGCGTACGCCTCTGCAATGGGAGATAGAGAAGTCCTAGAGACGCGCAAGCAAGAAGCGTGTCGCCTTCACGATCGCCTTCTTAATGCAAGCACGGGCATTGATACTCGCGCGGCGGTCAAGCAAGAAGCGGACCGCTGTATTCAACAAGTAAGCGCGGCCGTCGAGTCGACCAGGGGAGGTACGGGTGATACCTTCAGGGCATCGATAAGAGCCGAACATAATCCTGCGTCGATATGTGTGAAGCTTGATTCTCGTGGGAGCGATGGATTACCGAACACGTGTGAGTCGCGTCTAAAAGCGGCTGTGCTCCGGAGAGATAGGAACAAGCAAGTGGGTGCGACAGCAGTGGGACAGGGCGGAGTTGGGAAGACATGTGCCCTGCGGGCGATCGCGCATGACGATAAGATTATGGAAGAGTTTTCGGGAGGAGTGTACTTCATGTCGTTGGGGAAAGACGGAAACGTGGGACGGCTGATTGAAGAACTGTGTCTGATTGTGGAAGCGTCCGGTGGCAAGCAGACGGCTGCGGAAATGCGAGAGCAGAGCGAGTTTGGAAGGGTGTTAACGAAGGTACAAGCGTGGTTTTGCAGGCATGTGTGTCTGTTCATCATTGATGATGTATGGGTGGTGAATGATATAGACGCGAACATCCTTCAAAAGTTGTCTGTTCTGGCTGAGACTGCGGGGGGCAGCAGGGGAAGGAGGAGCAGACTCTTGTACTCTACGAGGGATAGGGAGCTGCGTCAGATTGGGGAGCGGGTTGCTTTCGAGCCGAGGGAGAATGTAGGGAAAGAAGCAGTTGAGATGCTTGTGCACGCGAGTGAGGCGAATCGAGAGGAAGTGGATAATGCGAGATGCAAGGAGGCCGTGCGTGAAATACTGGAAATGTGTGGGGGATTGCCGCTTGCCCTAAACGTAGCCGGAACGAGTGTGAGGTACATGAGGGAAAGATGGGAGGGAGAAGTGTCAGAAGCATGGGGGGCGTACCTTTCGAGGATGAAGAGGCGTAACACGATTCGCGGTGAGAGTCCGAAGGACGGATATTTGTCGTTGGATGGGACATTGCACACGTCACTAGATATCCTGGAGTCGGCGGATGTGGGAAGCAGTGGGGAGACGGTTGGTGAATTTTCGTTTCGAAAGATGCACCGGAGTCTGTGTGTTATGAAGAAGCAAGACTGGATACCTTTGTGTTTGGTTGGAGATTTGTGGGAGACGGAGGAGTGGACGGAAAGGTGTGCAAAGGAGATGGAAAGGGTTGGATTAGTAGAATTGCAGTATAAGAAGGGTTGTGGTGGGTTGCGGGTGCATGATCTGACGCACGATTTCGCGGTGCAAGAAGCAAAGAAGAAGGAGGGTGTAGAAGAGTGGTATAAGAAGATGGGGGATATATGCAGTGCAGGAGGAGGGTTGCTTGCAATGAGTGAGGGCCGAGATGGAGAGGGCAAGAGCGGACGGGAGGAGTACGTTTTCGAGAACATATATCGTGTTCTGAGACAGGGTGGGTGTGTAGAGGAGCTGAAGAGACTATTTTTGAGTGCGCGATGGGTGAAGACAGTGCTACAGAGAGGCGGGGTTTGGCAATACGAGGAAGCTGTGAAGGGGTTGAGTGGAGAGTTGAAGCGGAAAAGAGGAAGTGGGCAGGAGGTGGGAAGGGTAGGGGTAGATGAGGATGCAGTGGATGGGATGGTTTTGATGATGCGGGCTGCGCGACTGAGTGTACTGTTTTGTGGTGAAAGTAGTGCCGGGATTTACTTTCAACTATATGGGCGAGTGAAGCACAAGGCACGGGAATCAGGTTGTGTGCGAAAGATCCTGGAAGAAATCGAGAAATACGCACCACGGCCGTGGGTGCGGCCTATGAGTGAGTGTGTAGCGCGAGCCGATGGAAGGTTGGTGGAGCAGATTGTTCTGCCGTATGATAGTACTGGAAAAGTTGAAGTCGGCATAGATTGCAGGGGTGCAGTGTTTGGATGTCAGGTGGAGAAGTCCGGGGGAGAAGTAACAGTTTGCACGCAATCTGCTGAGAAGGAGACGAAGATGGTTCGATTAGAAGGCGAGTTCGAAGCGGAGAGCCAGGGCCCAGGGGAGCTAGGAGCAAGCAGGCGCAAAAGGGGTGGGAGTTTGAGGGCATGTTTTCGGATGTGCATTGGAAGTGAAACCTCCGAAGTGACTGGAGAAAACCCGAGCGTGACGAGAGCTACCTGCGCAACATTCTGTGAGAGGAAGGGGTATGTTGTTGTGGGATATGAAGACGGGACGTTAAGGGTGTGGAGTACATCGGAGAGGAAAGTATTGAGACGTTTCCGCGGTCCTAGGTCGGGAGTGCATTGCGTTGCGATGAGTGGGGATGGAAGACGTGTGGTGGTGTCTGGATCGTTTGACAAGAGCGTGCGGGTGTGGGACGTGGAGACGGGAGCACAAGTCGGGGAGGCGTTAGTTGGACACATGGGTTGGGTGCATAGCGTTGCGATGAGTGGGGACGGAAGACGTGTGGTATCTGGATCGTTTGACAGGAGCGTGCGGGTGTGGGACGTGGAGACGGGAGCACAAGTCGGGGAGGCGTTAGTTGGACACACAGATGTGGTGTGGAGCGTTGCGATGAGTGGGGACGGAAGACGTGTAGTATCTGGATCGATTGACAAGAGCGTGCGGGTGTGGGACGTGGAGACGGGAGCACAAGTCGGGGAGGCGTTAGTTGGACACACGGGTCATGTGCTTAGCGTTGCGATGAGTGGGGACGGAAGACGTGTAGTATCTGGATCGTATGACAAGGGCGTGCGGGTGTGGGACGTGGAGACGGGAGCACAAGTCGGGGAGGCGTTAGTTGGACACACGGATGTGGTGTTGGGCGTTGCGATGAGTGGGGACGGAAGACGTGTGGTATCTGGATCGATTGACAAGAGCGTGCGGGTGTGGGACGTGGAGAGAGGGATTACACTTCATACCGGGAGGGAAGAGGATTGGGATGAAATCACGAGTCGGTTCCTGAAGACGGCAGACTTGAGTACTGCTTCTCGTGCAAGACGAACATCACAAATATTTGCAAGGGACGGAGGAATTGTGCAAAGGCGAGAGGATGGGTCTGAGGCTGTCTTGGCCCAGTTGGACAATGCAAGAGACTTGCAGATAGACCACGATCACGAGGTCGCAGTTGCAAGGACGGGCCATCTGGTTGCTATCATGAAGCTAGTTGTGTAGCTAGTTGTATAAGTATCAAAGTGCGATGGCCGCTTGGCGCCCGAGACATTAGTAATGCGTTTGCAACTGTTCGCGGTAGTTCTGTAGTGGGCTGTAGTGGGGAGGTTGTTTGTTTGTTATGAATGCGTGAGAAGGTTGCTTGATGGAGGTGGCAGTCCATGTATGTGTATGTATGAACTACCGGGCTTCCTTTTTTCCCGAGCTACTCGGTCGTTTTTAGGGTGATCCCATATATTCTGTAATTTCATAACACCAGCTACTTGATTGGCCCCTACAGCAACAGCAATGCATCACACTTGAGTGTAAACATCATAATTTTACGCTTTAACAGTATCATTTTGCTGTCACTACGAGAAGATTGGGGAGAAATCACGAGTCGGTTCCTGAGGACGGCAGACTTGAGTACTGCTTCTCGCGCAAGACGAACATCACAAATATTTGCAAGGGACGGAGGAATTGTGCAAAGGCGAGCGGATGGGTCTGAGACTGTCTTGGTTCAGTTGGACAATGCAAGAGGCTTGCAGATAGACCACGATCACGGGGTCGCAGTTGCAGGGGCGAGCAATCTGGTTGGTATCATGAAACTAGTGGTGTAAGTAAGTGTCGAAGTGCGATGGCCGCTTGCCCCCCGACCCATTAGTAATGCGTTTGTAAGTTCTGTAGTGGGGAGGGTGTTTGTTTGGCCTGAGAAGGTTGGTTGATGGACGTTGCAGTGCATGTGTATGTATGAACTACCGACGTGCTTCCCTTTCGTCACTCAGTAAGCAACTCTAGAGGGATGCGAGCGTACCTGACGTGCAACAGGTGTTCCAAGGTTTGTCCTCCTCAAAGACAGAGGACTAAGAAATGTTGACAGCGGCATCAAGCATTTGGACAGAAGCGAAGTAGAGGAAGTGTAGAGGAAGTTGTTATTAGTGCATCAAGGGTTTGTTTAGAAGCGCTGCCGACCGGGTCAAGGTGGGGGCCGAATCTCAATGTTGAGAGGCGATGAGTACACGTGCACAGGATCACACGTGCACAGGTGCACACGTGTGAGAAGAATAGTGGCAAACGAGGGCAACTCTTTTCTTCAATTTTACCATAAAAGTTTTAGGATAAACTTGAGCTTCCATCTACTCATTCACGACGATGAAAGGTGAGACGGTGACATGGTGGAGGGCGTCGGTGATTTGCTGAGACAGGGATGACAGGAGGTAGGGGAGAAGACAGGAGCGCGGCGGTGGATCAAGGCGGATGTTGTTGCAAGAACGGTACATGGTGGGGCGCAGGAAAGAACGTTGGGTAGTGAGAGGAAAAAAGAAGAAAAGAGGTGAGGAAGAACACAGGATGCTGCGGTTATCGGGAGATGATTTAGTATTTGGGCAAGGTACAGAAAGCTAGGCGAGAGCAATGTTGCGGACGCTTCGAAGAGGACGGGGGTGAAGGGTGAATTGAATATCAATGGAAAATGGAAAATTGATGAGGTATGTATTTAGAGATATGTACTTATATGGAGGAGGCGTGTGTGCGTGGGAGTGGGGGGCGGAAGAGAAGGCGGGAAGGTGGTAACGCAGGGGATTGGATTGAGAGTTGTGAGATGTCAAAAAAGGAGGCGGTGGCCCACATTTTGGGGGATAAGTTAGAGTGCTTTTTTGTTTGATAGAAATGGGCTTCAGATTCGCGCTCACGCACGCGCGTAGTACGCGCCGCGTACAAGTACCATGGGTGATGCCCTATCGGCTTCTCGAGGCAGTGTCAAGAGTGCTTTTATCGCAATGATGTGGGGTATATTTATGCAAATTTCGCGCACTGTACCCTTCAAGCCTTGAAGCAACATTCGCGACATACCCTTCAAGTTCAAGTTCTAGTTACAGTTCAAGTCCTTCTAGTTACAATAAAGGTCGACCATTCAAGTTCAAGGGTATGTCGCGAATGTTGGGGAGCCGTTGGTTGGGAGGGGATTGGAAGAGCGAAAAGGGGGAATTATTTGATGCGTTTCAAAAGGTTGAAGATTAAAATCAAAAAGTTGATTCTGCACCACGTCAAGAGCGGGCCAGTGCAGTGAGTGCATTAAGCCCTTTTTTTTTACGTTTAAAAGTATACTTTTAACCCTTTGTCATACCATGTGATCGGATCTCGGAGTCAGAGTTTGGGTAGCCGCCAGGCGGCTGATTCAGTTTTACACAAGGAGCGACAGGGGAGAGGGGCCGAGTACAGTACTGTTGTGAGAATCGATCTTACGATTAGATCCGTGATCGATACTCGGTAAACAAGATGTACCCTTGTCTCAATGTAAGGCTATCAGCAACTCGCATTCAGCAACCGGCATCCTTGTGAATTACACATATGTCGTTGTTCTGAATGAGCACCTAGAGGAATGCAGATGAAACAAGCATACGCCAAGGGACGCGTACCCTTGTAGCAAACAAAAGAGCGGCAGAAAAGAGCGTTCAACGTACATTACAACTGCATGCGAACGGTTGGCAATGGTGCGAAGAATATATATGCAGACGGTAGCGGCAAAACACTGTCAAGCGAAGAAAAGCGGGCAATGCAACTTGCGGCAAGGAATGCATATCGCAATTCATGTATGGCGACGATGAGATGCGGTGAACGAAGAGTCACAGTAGCGTAGTACTTAAAGCGGCATAAACATACGAAGAAAAGATAGAAGGCAGCAGCCCAGCGTTCATGCTGATCATCGTATTCACACCAACCCATTTATCCTCCCTCAGGAGCCGGATTCGGCTCCCCCCCTTTTTCGTCAAATCCGTAGCACCCCACTCTGACGATCCCTGATCGAATCATGGCCAATCATTTATCAACTGTACGGGAAATTGGAACTTTCTCAAAAATTGTTCCCCTATCATACCTCTCTACCCCCCACAATTGTGGGTCTCCAATTTCCCGTATTGGAGGGGCCGGTGGCCAACGAGCGGAGGGATCAGCGACTGCAAGTCATACGAAGGGATTCACACAGCACACAGCACACAGCACACAGCACACGCACAAACTCTCGTACCGTTGCCGCTGCGGGAGATTGGACGTTTGGATACCAGCGCCCGTCTCGAAAGAAGGTCGCAACGACCCCGCGATATCGGTTGCGTCCCCTACGGCAAGCCGTGCCCATGGCACGTGCGTGCACTTTCTTTCCTGTCCTCTTTCAAGCTCGTTTTCTCAGAAAATGGTCATTTGGGGAACGCGTATTGAGACAACCAGCTTGAGGCAACCAGCTTGAGACAACCAGCTTTTTGAGACAACCAGCTTGAGACAACCAGCTTTTTGAGACAACCAGCTTGAGACAACCAGCTTTTTGAGACAACCAGCTTGAGACAACCAGCTTTTTGAGACAACCAGCTTGAGACAACCAGCTTTTTGAGACAACCAGCTTGAGACAACCAACTTGTGAGACAAGGCGTTGTCTCAAGCTCGCTGTCTTAAGCTCGCTGTCTCACGCTCGTTGGACAACGGTCTCAGGAAATGGTCATTTGACAAAGGCGTATTAAGGTTCCCGCGCCGTGCGCCCTAGTCTCGCGGAATGATACCATGTTCCTCTGAAAAGTTTCAACAGCGTCGCGTGTTGAACCTCCCGAAAACGCATTCTATGATGCACTGCATCTTCTCTGCAAACCGTGTGCATTATACAATGTGTATGCAGGAGCTTGCCGCTGTGCGACCCTTCAAACGCGCCCTTCAAACGCCATGTCTTGAAACGTTTCACGTTTCAGCTGTGGCCTACCAAACAAAAATACTTACACCTACGTATTCCATTGCAAACGCCTCACCATTTGTGAAACCATTTGTGAAACCAGCGCCCCGACCGCATTCCATACACCTCAACTTGAGGTCCTCAACACAACCACAACATCTCCCACCACCCCGTCCGCACTCGCTCCAAAACCCCCGTCTCAACCCCTCCGCAGCGCATCCCCCCCTCTCCCCAGTCGCGAGCCACGCGAGCCACGCGCCTCCGTACCTTGCGTGCGCGCACCAACCCCCGCTTCCCTCCTTTCCTTATAAAGCGCCCTCGCCCTCTCCTTCCCCTCCCTCTCCCGTCCCCTCCCTTCCCGCACCCCCGCCATGCCGCGCCTCGCCCCCGCCCCGCTGCTGCTGCTGCTCTTGCTCGCGCTCCGCGTTTCCTCAGGATGGGGAAACCAGGGGTCTGGGAAGCAAAAGGACTCTGGGATCCGCATCTGCGGACAAAGCCCATCACCTTTCTGGAACCGAGGGCAGTAACGGACAATCTGAAGGCATTCGCAGACGACCTTCGCAAGGGGACCCATCTCCGCGTAAGGGAGGACAATCAGGCCGTGGTCCACATACTCAACACGATGACCACGCGCTCACCA